CTTACAGCGAATTTTCGCTAAGTATTTTGTTGGTTCATATACGAGGAAAAAGTCACGCTTGACAGCAATAAGAATTGATTGTTATTGATTGTTTTGCAATAATTTCTAGCTTATCGACCTTATTTATGGCTCACWGGTAGGCTGTTTACATGTTAAGATGGCAAGTTTTCTAATCTAAAAAAATCACTTAAAAAGCGCTTGTGGCCGTTACTCCAAAATCTTTCGTTCTGAATATTTTGAGATTATAAATTTTCAGCTTTTTACATTTATAAGTTGATGATCAGATCATGTGGCTGACGTCAGGTCGAACAGGTTTAGAGTCTTGGGAGGGCTTAAGGCTAACTGATGAAGTGTTACTATAATTATAATCTTGTAAAAAATGTGAGAAAATATTGAATGCTGCATAWAGCGTCAAGAGGTATTTGTACTATTTACAGAGAACATCTGAATGCTATTGTCAATTAGACAGTCGTAAATGTACAWTTTAATAATAACATTAGAAGACAATCATGTAATGTATATACAGATTACATGGAAGACTAGAAATATCTGTTATAACAGTATTTATTTTTTTAGAAATGAAACGGAAATCGTGAGGTGCTTTCAACAAGTATTTTTAACCCTTTCCCTACGGCCATCGGTATTATCAGTACCACAGGATTGATGCCTTCAAAARTTATAATTTCCCAAAATCGTCATATGTCGCTGAAAAATTTGCTCTGACAAGACAGCAAGACRACAAATTCAATATTCCAAYTCAAAGCATGTCACGGAAATCAAGTTCTTTGGTCGAATAAGACTTCTGTTTTGGCGTGGASGCTCAATTCTGGATTTTGCACTTCCTGKRACAACAGCGAAAAGCTCACWTTTTGGGCTTAATTTSCAACATGAAATTCATGCTTTTCAAGCACAAACTCGACATTTTTGAAAAGCTCCATCGTCCTTATCTTGCATTTAAGGTTTTTATTCGGAATAATTCTCTACAGGCAATACAAGAGCCGCCCCTTTGACATCCAACTCGACAAACTAACATTTCTCGAAAGCACGACCCAAGTGCACCCTGCGAATGTTAACATCTATGAGACAGTGAATGGCCAGCAATCTTACTTTACTACTTTTTTAAGAAGTGCCAAGTCACTCGCACCTACATGCAAAATATTGCATCGACCTAATTCTTAGGATGTCAAAACGTGCCAAATTTACCCTGGTAGGTTCTGAGATCTGGCACAGAATGACTAGGGAAGCGACCTTTCTCAAACAACAACAATTCAAAGCGACCTTCGATTTGTTGCCGTTTTCTTAAAAAAATCGCTTTCCACCTCTGATTACCTCCAGAAGAGTGTCTTTGCCGCCTAGTCGAGATTAATGATGTAGTCCTAGGACCTTGTATGGCAGCGACGCGAAGCGTGTTTTTTATTGCTTTTATAAAATAGCAAGCGCTCAAATATTCACGAGAAAAAAAAGCCGAGAAAAAAATGACGCGAGCGTGTATTATGCTCTCATCAAACACGGCTTTTTGGCCAATCAGAGCGCGCGTAATATGAAAGTTATTTTATAAAAATTCTTACTCCAAGTTAAGGACCGCATGATGATGTCTTTCCTAGATAAAACTTAGGCAATAATAGTAATATTATATATATACAAATGTATTAATATTAATATTGCAAGCAAATTTTTCTGAGGGGAAGACTCAAGATTCTAGTGAAGCCGATGTTCAAATTGTATCCAGCCTTTGTTCTCCGTTGTGATCTACCTTGTTCGTAGGAATTTTTTGCAAGTCTTTAATTTCGCGAAATCTTAAGAAATCGCGAAAATCATGATRTAAAAGAACCGAAAAAAAAGTTTCATGAAAGGATAACTCTATATATGTAAAGCAATATAAAAATAAACTGCATACAAAACTTAATGTGAAAAGGGTTTTTGTAAAAGTTTTTGTTTCCACTCATATTCGAAAGCCCTCAAACGAACAGAGTGGTTCACAAACTATTTTTTTCATTTGCTTACTTTACTACCACTTTTTATGAACAAGTACATAGACAAAGAATAAACGGCCTATCATTCGATGGCTGAAATTCTATTTAACACTTATTGTCTCTGATTGCAGTAAAATCCCTGTAACACTCCTTACTGAAACGTACGCAGGGCAACAACCAACATGAAGACCTCATTTATGGAAGCCGGATTAACGTGTTTATGAATGGGCGGCGAATTGGTTAAGCTGTTGTCTTTCATTAAATAGTCATACGAAGAAATCCAAGCTTGCCAATTGTGTAACGTTATATTTTTTGAAGAATAAGGTAATTAAACAGGCCCRTAGGCTGCCTTACAAATGGTGTGATTCGTTTTTTTCATAATGAGCACCTAAATTATATGTTTAACTACATTAGTTCAATGCACACTATAGTGTGTAAGAACTGGCTGCTAGGATGATTGGATCTCAAAAATGGTTAATAACAAAATAAATTTTAAATTGAACTATCAAAAAAGATAAACACCTGACCTTTTAAGCTCTATGGGGGGTTTCCTAGCCTACGAGCCTGTCAAAGGAAATGCGCGTTCGCATACATTAGCACATTATTCATACGAACACACGAACTTGTATTATTTCAGTCCGACAAATATACTTTTTATGATAATTTGTAGATTTCTCGATCACGCGCTGATTGGTCGAGAGCTTTTGTCAATTAGAGAGTTTAGACAATGGAAATGACGAAGGCAGTCAAGCTTGTCACACAAAGCAATTTTCAATTGGTCGTGAAATTGCGTTTAATAAACATGGTTCTACTGAGTTTTGAGGATCTTTGACGTCAATTTCATTGTCAATAAATGGTAGTATCGTCGTGTACCGTGTAACCAAGTACGTCATGTTTCCGAACACACGAGTGGGATATTTTGAGGTTTTTGGCTGTCCTCACTTAGAAAAACAAGACGCTTGTCAGCGTGTACTCGGGGTTCTTTTTAGTGTAGTCTCTTGGTTTTATGATACAATATAGAATATGTAGTTTCATTTATTCTTGCCGTGACCAAAAAATATAATAAATTCTCAGTCCAGTTGATAGCATAATAATTAAGACTTATATAATTTTGACTTGATAAATTTACCGCAATTATTGCAAAGAATAATAAAAACTTTAATTATCAAATATAAAGTAAAACTAAAAATCCTTCCTTGGATTGAAAATAGTAAAAAAAGAAAATGTATTAATATTATTATTGTTGACCAAGAATTGTCCTTACTTTGACAGACATTTGGTCCCGGATTTGGTCTAACGCAAATACCATTCACTGATCCTTTGTTTGCAATCCTTCGTTATTTCACCTGTACAGTTTTGTTGACAATCGGCACTTGAGTCTATTGTTCTTTTATAGTAGTTAGAGCTTTGAATATCAGTAGCTTTTAAGATAGAAGGCCTGTAGTTTATGACTGGCTTTGGTCGGCTTTGGATAGATTAAAATGGCTTGCGTATCATAACTTAAGTCACAATAAGCTTGATTTATTCGCGGTATTTTTCAAAAAGCCCATTCCGAAAACGGTCGACATCCTTTAGTGTGGCTATACCGCGTGTGGATTTGTGAGTGATTTGAGCGTATTTTTTGAGAAGAAGAAATACCATAAGCCCATCGACGAAGAAGCTGATGCAATTAGCAC